TTTTTTAAAAAGAAAATAGAAACTGCTTTTAGACGGTGTTAAAATCTATTCTTGAAGCACATTTTCTCTTCCGCGCTATGTTTTACCATTGAATATTATCATGATATTGATGTCAACTGAATGCCAAATTGGAAATGAATTTTCCATGAATAAATACATTAGAAACAATTGAATCATCCTTTTTCAAGTTTGTATATGTTCTAAACTTTAAATTAATTTAAACTTTAACTAATTTTCTCAAAAATAGATCTTTATACCCTACCTCGCAAAATGTGCAATATCTCATATCTCAAAAATTCAAAAACCCACTGTGTTCAGCATGGAATATCCTATTATTAGGTACAACCCTTTACTCAAACTGGTCAAAATCTGACTTTTGGTACCTTTCTTAAGGCACACACACACAAACAGTAAAAAATTGTGTGGCCATTAATCATAATCAGACATAAAAAAAGGAAAATGAGTCACCACATGCACGTCAATCTAATATACTAATACTTGAATACTTGCTTAATGAGCGGTAGGATGAAAAGTACAAGGAAGACTGGTTTTCTTTAAGTCTAAGTAGTACCAAAGCAGTGATTTAAGTAAAATAAAAAATGTCATATTATTTAGTCACACAGAAAACTATCATGTAGGCTATTCCCCCATATCTTTCTCACGGAACATTTGGCAGACTTGAACGTGTAAATGCAATAACAATAGTATCTGTGACTTTCCGGAAGGCCTACTTGATTTTTGAAAAGTTACTTTACTTTTTCTTTTATCCGCCGATTATACCCTTTTGGGTGTTGCCGGAAGAAAGAGAAAAGTTAACTTCCTTACATATAAATAGCAATAACTTTGTTAATCTGCCTTTTTTCCAGTAAAATCCACTCAGAAATGTGCTTTTAGATTTCTAGATGGACATAAAAGGTGCTGAGAAAGAGGAAAAAAAAAAAAAAAAAAGTAAATATTGCCCCATGGTTAGAAAAATGTCCGCTTCTTCATCTTCATCATTTTGACAAGCACCCCAAACCATCACGATGCCCCTCATACTGCCAGACTCCAGCTTCTTCATTTTCATCATTTAGACAAGCACCCCAAACCATCACGATGCCCCACATACTGCCAGACTCCAGCTTCTTCATTTTCATCATTTAGACAAGCACCCCAAACCATCACGACGCCCCACATACTGCCAGACTCAAGAATTTCCCATGAGGTTGTGTCCTGGAAAGCTGATGGGAGTACAGGCAGAGGGTGACTCTTTTTAATTTTTAGTAGAGGTTTCACGCCCCTCGCAACTGCATAAGGTCATATGAGCGCCAGAAGATTAGAGGTGTTACAAGAGAGTAACAAACATAAAAAAGGAGGGGAGATAAGGACGATAGATGTTTGATAGGAAAGAAGAAGCAAACCACACTAGAGCACCCGCCAACCACCCACAGAAGGTGACTAGAGGTGTTTTACAACACTTGCAACACAAAAAGGTCACATAAGCGCCGAAGATTAGAGGTGTTACAAGTGAGTAAGAAACACAAGAGGCGACGAATGCTCAAAATGAGGAAGTCTCTAAGTCCAAGTGAGTGGTAAGTGAGCATACGTTTGTCTACAGCTGACGCCGTCGTTTTCAGCAAGAAAAATTCTGAAATTCTGCAAACTGAGCCCAAAAATGCAAAATTATGCGATTCTGTTAATTTTAACAAAGAATGATAAAGGAAAATAATCAGAAACTATGCAAAATGGTTAAATTTTGCTAAATTATGCAGGGTGCATAAAACCACGGGGACAGCTACAGGAGGTGATCAGAGTAGAGATGGTTCCGCTTTGTCAGTTTAAATCCCACAGCACCCTTCTGTTTTCCTTACAACACTTTGAAAAAACTGGTGAACACTGCCATTCAGATATGGTTGGAACGGTGTGTACAACTGTGCCAGCTGCCAGCCATTATATGTGATCAACGCATTCTCAGTGAGTGACAGTAGACATGTACGTAGGCAAGTGCAAACACAGTCTCAATGACTTAAAATACACATGCACGTACACAATTACCTGGATGCATTGTGAAAGACTTGAAACTATTTACACAGTGCAAATTTTAGAATGTATATTTATGCAGAAGACTGCAGAGAAATTTAGAACATCTTCCCATAATCTCCATTCCAGAAGCATTATATCCACGTCTTTATGCACCAAGAAATAAAACTCTCAAATCATGACATTTTCAAACAGCCATAAAAGTTCTCCTTTTGCACACAACTCTTACAACAACAACTTCTCACGAAAGCATACCGGGCATTACGTCAGACCTCAGGATAATACGGATGATGAGACTAACATGACCATGACCATACCAAGTACACCACTTTTAAATTCTGTCAACTATGAAAAAAAAAGAAGTTAAATGCAAGGTTACACCTGGAAAGAAAGCTGAGCAAACAGGAAGAAAGTTGCTCAGCACAGAGACCGAGAAAAAAAGTACATTTCACAAACACTGTTCTCTTTCACACGAGGTCAGCGCACCATAGTGAGTATAAAAGTATAAGGTAATCTCAAACTTATGCCTCTGCTCTCGCAGTTGCAATACATGATACAAAAGTCGGATGGACAGATACAGTGTGCCTGAAATAACTCATCTAAACTTAAAATCACTGGGTTGAAGGACACTTAAACAAAACAAAAAAAAAACACAAATTAAAAAAAACAAAGCTATCTTCCATTTGGCTTGATAAAATATCAACAAAATTCACAGAAAAGTAACAATACCATTCTCCTCACAAGTTCACAGATATGGCAAACATTAGTGAACAAACACATCAACACTGTTGAGACCACCATCAACCTGTTTGTCCTGTATAGTATCGTCACCATCATTCCAGTATTTAACTCACCTGATCTCCTTTTTTGTTTTGGTAAAAGTGTTTTACGGCGCTCGCAACTGCATAAGGTCATATCAGCGTGCGGGACACACCTAATATTTTCAGTCGGTAGGAAATTTTGAATTTTGCCCGGGTGGCGGCCGAAGCCTACTCTTATCGATTTTAGACCACCAAGGGATCTTTAACGTGCGCAACATGCACATGGGCCCTCCAAGATTTTTCACCCTTGTCCGAGAAGGATAGGTGTAGATCTTTCCTACCAGAAGATCAGGGGTGTGGCAAAAAGACAGCAGTAAGGAGGAGCCAAGGAGTAGCAGTAGAAAGGCTGCAGAAAGAGTCAGGAGCCCAGAGGAGGGGGCAAAGGAGGTGAGGGGGTGGGGGCAGAAAGTGGAAATGAAAGCAGACAACAGAACATTGCTAGAGAGCAGGAAAGGAGGTGAAAGGAGACAATTTAAGAGAAGAAAATTTTTTGGTTGCTACCCGGATTCGAACCTGGGATCTTTGAATGAGAGGCTAACACCTTAACTTCTAGGTCACGAGAGCCCCCATACCTGATCTCCGATCTACTTTTCACCCAACAACCATTGCAGCCTGACACTTTTGAGGTATATTGAAAAGTTAACCACAAAAACACGGAAAACTTTCATAATTTTTTAAATGCAACAAGAGAAAGAAAGAAATGCTTTCAAAGAAAAAGAAAACTGTATCTTAATGGTCCAAATATTTTTTTGTATTAATTTTTTTTTGCGGCCAATTTATAATAAAAATCATCTATCGCAATGCATTGCAGGAGTGACCGACTTAGTCCGTTACAGCTCAAAAAGTATCGCACATAACTTCACCAACTTTTTAACAAAACGAAAAAAGTGGGTCAACAGTCGGCTAACTACTTCTCGTAACTTGTAATAGAAAAACACTGGAGATATCAATCGATAAAGCGCATCCCGTAAATACACGGGATTATGCCACCAGGGTGTCCCATCAATAAATGGGAAAAGGCTCAAGTGAGTTTTTAAAAAACAACAACAAAAAAACAAAAAAAACAAAAAGAAAAAGAAAAAAAAAATATTCTTGTGACCCTGTAACTTTGTTTCACAAAGATACATATTACTATTACATGATGGCAATAAGGATACCGCAACACAATTTATTTCCAACACTAGAACACCACTGCTGATCATGAGGAGACAGTGCCTTGTACAACACAGATGACTCAGACACGAAGCACATGCAAAGAAAGGCTGTAATAATACTAAATAGCAGCCAAACATTCATTGAGCTCTGGAAAAAGTCTGAACTTTGACACCACTAGGACATATAATCCCACTTTGTTATTGCACTCACTGTCTGTACTCACGTTACAAAAGTTATAATTATAAGCACCTTACAAGATAACAGATATCATTTACAAGGGGGTGACTTTTTAAAGGTCTATCTTGGTTTCAAGACTAACTGCTGCATCTTTCTCACAGAGTTGTAAAACTGCAATCTCTGTCTTAATTATATATACAATGTTTAGGCGGGCTTACAAACATGATTTTGTGTATCAGGCATTCACAAGAACCTGCTCTAAAAACACTTTCCTTGATTCCAAAAGAATGGCGGTGATTTCGTTCACATTCGGATTCTATAAAACTAAATCTGTCACACAATGCAAAAAACCCCCCAAACTTAAGTGTCACGACGCGGTGGAATCAAGAGCTCATCAATAACCTCTCTGTACTGCAAACACAATTTTTGAATTTGTGAGGCAGCGAGGTGGAATCAGGCTCTCGTCAAAATCATCAAAGTGAAGAAACTTGCATTTTTCCGCAGGTTTGTGGATTTTTATCAAATTTATGTTTTTTGGCCCAACACCTTTCATGCCCATTAAAGAACTCATTTCTGAGTGGATTTTTCTGAAAAACGTTGATGAAAGGCTCAAAAAAAGTAAATTTTCAGTTTCCACGGACTCTTCTTAAGCTAAGGAAATAACTTATCTTTGGCGGCCATTTTCTCACTAATATTACCTCTGAAAACAGGTGACCCTCACCTCCTTCTTTCGCAAATATCTCGACTTGTATTCAAGATAAATGGATATTATTTTCATCCAAACAAAGACAAGTGAACTAGCTTTAAGATGATAATAATAACTCTACATGCCCAAAAATTGACGAGAGTCTGATTCCACCACGCTGCCTCACATTTGTGCATTTTGTTGCTTTGGGCTTGCCTTGTTTACTTTACGGGCACGGCACCTTCAGCGAATCCTCAGCATTCCTGGGCAAGTCTTGATTCATAACAAAATTCTGCCTATCATTCTCAGCCTCCGTTTCCGTGATTTTTTAATTCCATTAAATATCAGTCGCCAACACACTCACTGTAACATTCACTTTATGGATCTGATCTACAACCGACAAAAAGTGAACCTACGACACTTCCATTTCAAGTTGACCTGTTTTGATATAACCAAATAAACCCTTCCCCCCAAAAAAACGCAACACCAGAAAAGGTTGATGGGATCAAGTCTGTACATTTCCATACGTTCCACTCGGAGCCCGATACATCTTTGGTATGTAAAGCATCTGCAAGCTGATGAAAGCGTACTTCTTGACACCTGTGTTCTTCAGGGTGTTCTCTCGACGACATCCAACACTGAAAAATACACCAATCAAAACGTCAAAATGGGAGGAATATCTTACAGAAGAAAAATATCTCGCATATCGCTAATGGATAAAAAAAATAAAAATTTTTGTATTTCTTTCTTTGTTTGAGTAAACAGAAGCACATCAAAACAACAATGATCTTTTATTGCTGGGAAACAAGTAAGACAGACAGACAGACAGACAGACAGAAATGTAGAAAAGACAAGACTGAAAGAAAAAACAAAACAACAGAAGGACAGTAAGAATACCCTGGGATTACAAACTTTAAAAAAAATACATCAAACGACAGTCACAAGCAATCCAATAGAGCCGAAATTTGGAGAATTTCTATTTCGACACCTTCTCAAAGCTGTATTAAAGATGCCTACACATTTCAAAATCACTGAAACACAGTTTAATGCTATAGCCAAAGCTCACAATTTTCTAGCTTTTCGTAATTCCTGATAGGAACAACACAACAAAAATTTGTTGTATTTTTTTTCTCGAGTGTAAGAGGTACCCAAACAGACTTAAGTGGATGGCTTACGACACAGACGATATACTGAACGTTATGTATACCTTCTCAGACAATCCAGAGACTGCATGAAGACGTGCGAGGCCAGGTTGTGGTGACGCTGTAAGATGTGCACCATCTCCAACGTGACGGCCATGGCCGTCCTGTCCTTGCCACTTTTGCAGAAGGTCACACGCAGGCCGCGCAGAGCTCGAGTCACCTGGGAAGTTAAGATAACATCAGAAAAGATACGATAAGATTTTAAGATAAGATGATACTTTAGGCCTACTGTCCCAGAGACAAATTTTTCTTGGCTGTACAGGAATGGTAAAAACACATGCAGGTATACATAAGATAAGATAAGATAAGATTTTAAGATAAGTTGATACTTCACTGTCCGAAATAGAAATTTTTCATGGCTGTACAGGAATGGTTAAAAACACATGCAGGTATACATAGAATTTCAATTAAGTATTAATCTCTTAAAAATTCAATATAAAGAGAAAAGTAAAGCAGACAATGGTACAAATATCACGTCAGACGCAACTTTCAACCACATACTGATTTTTAGAGTGCTATAGATACATGCATATATATATTTGAAAATAAATGTGAGGCAGCGTGGTAGAATCAGGCTCTCGCCAATTTTTGGGCATGTAGAGTTATTGGTATAGTCTTAAAGGTTGTTCATTTGTCTTTATTTGGATGAAAAATATGTCCATTTAGCTTGAATGCAAGTCGAGATATTTACGAATGAAGGAGGTGGGGGTCACCTGTTTTCAGAGGTAAAATTAGTGAGAAAATGGCCGCCAAAGATTAGTTATTTCCTTAGCTTACGAGTCCGTCGTAACTGAAAATTTACATTTTTTGTGCCTTTAATCAATGTTTTTCATTAAAATCCACACAGAAATGAGTTCTTTAATGGGCATGAAAGGTGTTGAGCCAGAAAAAAAAAATTTGATAAAAATTCTCAAACCTGTGGAAAATGCCAGTTTCTTCATTTTGGTTATTTTGACGAGAGCCTGATTCCACCACACTGTCTCACATATTATGTAATTGAAACAAACACCACAATACACATTGATGTTTATTCCCACTGTAGCCTTGGACCAGATGGTAAAGTTTGGTGACATCCATAGCTTTATAATGACTATCAGTTTTACTGGTTTTCAACATGGGTCTGGTCATTCAAGGAGCAGGACTTTTGGATCAGCATCCATTTCCGAAGGGACATGGTGAATGGCCATAAAAACTTTCAACAGCACCTACTCGCAGAAACAGCGACTACTAAAATTGACCACCATCACAAGTTTTTTTTATCAAAAAATGAATAAATGACACACGATTTAGAAAAAACTAAAGACCTCTAGCAGAGGATAGTTACTCTTACTTTAATTTAACAAAAGGTCAGGGAGGTTAAAACATCTAAGTAACACATAATCACAAAGAAAAGCTAGCCAGCCTGATGTCAATGAGACAGAGTATGTCATAATTCTCCCTTAGCCTTTGTCCAATTATGACACTGATAGTAGACCAGAGGTTAGGCCACCACATTGACATTATCATTTTACTGTATCAGGCATGGTACAAAAACGGTATTTCTAAGAGAACTTTAAAATCTGCTATTTCAAATCTTAATATGAGGGCCAAATAATTTTTTTCAAAGAACCAATAATAAGTGAGACAGTTAACGGGACCAGAAAAAAAGTAAGAAAGCTAAAACAAGAAAAAAAAGTCCCTGAAACATCAGCAAACAAGAAGAAAAAACCCCCACAAAATTGTTCCTAAAGAGATGTGTGTTTTCGAGATGACCACTACAGATGAGACTCCAATGAGACTCCAATGAGACTCCAATGAGACTCCAATGAGACTCCAATGAGACTCCACTGAGACTCCACTGAGACTCCAATGAGACTCCAATGAGACTCCAATGAGACTCCAATGAGACTCCAATGAGACTCCAATGAGATGACCACTACAGATGAGACTCCAATGAGATGACCACTACAGATGAGACTCCAATGAGATGACCACTACAGATGAGACTCCACTGAGATGACCACTACAGATGAGACTCCACTGAGATGACCACTACAGATGAGACTCCACTGAGACTCCACTGAGATTCCACTGAGACTCCACTGAGATTCCACTGAGACTCCACTGAGATTCCACCTCACCTCTTCTGCCATGTGAAGGACGTCCACGTTTTTGCTTTTCTTGGTCATCACGTGGTTCTGCAGCAGCTTCATCATGTGACTTAGGGAGGCCACGCCTTTTGTCTTGTCCACTACCCACACACAGACAGAGAGAAAAGGAAAGATTATTATGAGAAGAGAGAGAGTCTGTTTCTTTTGTCTTGTCCACTACCCACACACAGACAGAGAGAAAAGGAAAGATTATCATGAGAAGAGAGAAAGTCTGTTTCTTTTGTCTTGTCCACTACCCACACACGAACAGAGAGAAAAGGAAAGATTATCATGAGAAGAGAGAGAGTCTGTTTCTTTTGTCTTGTCCACTACCCACACACAGATAGAGAGAGAAAAGGAAAGATTATCATGAGAAGAGAGAGAGTCTGCTTCTTTTGTTTTGTTTTAGTAGAGGTTTCACGCCGCTCGCAACTGCATAAGGTCATATGAGTGCCAGAAGATTAGAGGTGTTACAAGAGAGTAACAAACACAAAAAAGAAGAAGGGGAAATAAGGACGACAGATATTTGATAGGAAAGAAGAAGCAAACCACACCAGAGCACCCGCCAACCACCCACTGTTTCTTTAATTCAGAGCAACAGAAGTAAGAATATTTCTGACAAACAATTGCTGAGATTTAAAATCTGTCGTTCACTAAAACAACAGCCGCTACAGTAAAACAGAAAAAATAAAGTAAATATACGTAGACACATAAATTGTTCTTATACAAAAATTGTTTATAAAAAAACAAGTTTATCAAACACAACTGATCTTTACAGATCATCTTGAATTTTCGCTCAGAGAATCAAAAAGAATAGGACAAATTTCCAGCCACATCTTATCCCACAGTAACAAAAGCTCTTCAATGGGGTCAGAAATCAGCCCTGAAACAAGACTCAGAAAACTGCTCAGAAGTCACAACGTACACGGGTCCTCAAAGTGCTGAGAGAACTGGGAGTAATACTCGTACAGCGTGGCGTAGGAATCGATGTTCAGCTTTTCCTGCAAGGCCGTGCTTCCGAACCTGAGAAGAAGAAAAAAACCAAAAAAAACAACAACTTTCAAATCTCTAAGCCTGATTTACTTTTCTGTTTGCTTGCTACATCAAAAATTTAGTAAAATTGCCTCATTGGGGATTTTTTTTTCCACTATGAAGCTATACCAAAAATGTAAGGAGTGAATGTAACCCAAATTCAAATCCTTTTCATTTCACAAACCCTAAGCAGTTGGGAAATAGCATACAGTCTTCTACGGATGAGTTGATGTCGCTGGGGAACAGAAAATAAAAAGATGAACTGATACAAAGTTTCACATAACCATTGGGGGCCACAAAATCAAGGAACATAAAAATCTTTTTCCCTGCTCATTACAATTTTAGTGTTAGTACGGTGACAAAAAAAGGGGGCAAAAGGAAAAGTCACCGAGCAATATTCATTCACTTCATTGTATGTCATCATCGCACGCTCAAGTGTGTACGTACAATAATAAGTGAGTGTTTGAGCGTGCGTGAGTGTGTGTGTGTGAGTGTGTGTGTGAGCAAGTATGTGTGAGGGAGGGAGGGAGAGAAAGAGAGAGAGAGAGAGAGAGAAAGAGAGAGAGAGAGAGAGAGAGAGAGAGAGAGAGAGAGAGAGAGAGAGAGAGCAAGTAAGAGAGGGGGGGAGGGAGAGGGAGAGGGGGGAATTTTGTTTTTCATTAAAAAATCTATAGAGAGCATTTAGGCATAAAAAGTGTTTTAAATCAAACCAAAGGCACGCACACAAAAATACACCAGCATTACCCCTGTTTGAAAACTATGATTGAAAAAAAAAATGTAATTAATGACTCAATTGATTAGTACGGCCCACTCACTTTTCTGCAAGAGTAGCTTGCTCATTGATACCAATGTTGAACAGAACGGGCGTCACAGGAATTTGTTTTCCTTGCTGTAAAACGGTCGGCAGGCGTGAAAATGTCTCCCGAGGCACCGGTATGTCAATGATTATGTTGTGTCTGAGGACGCAAGAACAACAGAATTTATAAGAAACCTTAACCCTTTCCTGTTCAACCAAGAACAAAGCCAGTCAAAAAGAAGTGGTATTTCCAAAGTTGTTTCTCAAGTGTGTCAACAGAATGGAAAGATTGTCTGTCCGCGTGGCTATATGCACCCCGCATAATTTAGCAAAATTTGATCTCATTTGACCTTATGCAGTTGCGAGCGTCGTAAAACCCCGTACTAAACTAACTAAAATTTGATCATTTTTTGCATAATTTCTTATTATTTTCCTTTATCATTCTTTGTTAAAATTAACAGAATCGCATAATTTCACATGTTTGGGCTCAGTTTGCATAATTTTAGAATTTGTCTTCCATCAAACGAAGGGGACAGGATTATGTACCGTACTTCACAAAACATAACTGACTATATAAGCTCCCAGGGTTAGTCCACTGTTAAAATTCTCCCATAAACAGGGCCAGAATCTTTAAAAAAAACTATGAACACTTCTGCTTGAGCTGAAGATAGTCACAGTCTCCTAATGAATCACTGACACAGGAGGATTAGACCTATACAAGACAATCATAATATATATGTAAAAACACTGAATACCTGCAAACAGCCATTACAATATCAGACAAACTTTTTAAAAATACCCCAGTCCGCAAAAGCATAACTGTGAAATAAGAGCCATAAGGTAATAACAAAGAGACATACCTGCTGATATCTGGATATGGACCCTCTTTGATGAAACTGAAAACACAAAATTCAAGACATAAGGAAAGAAAATAGTAAATGAGAATCTACATCACAGTTTCACAATGCCCACTCTCCACTCAACTTTCGTAAGAGACTATTCCAAAATAAACGGAGAATGAAAAAGAAAGATTAGCTGAGTATCAGTGCTGACAGTAGGAACGTACACCCCCTAGTATTGAAGGAGTCAAAAGAATTTTATCAAGGGTGTGTTTCGAACCATGCAACTGGAAGACTTGAGTCAACTCACCATTTTTTTGGGGTTCTAAAAATCATTGCTGAGATCATACGAAGAATCCTCGACAAAAAGAGGGAGCTGACATGCACTACAAAAAAAATTTTTTTAATACAAAAGTGCTCAGGGTTAGCTTTTGAGTCTCTTATCATTTAAATTGGAAGGCTTTTTAAAGAAATTTTTTTTCCTGTTGACAATTTTCATGAAATCAGTTACATGGTTAGAGCATAACACCATCTTTATTTCTGAGGCGTGCTGACAAAATGAGTACGATCTACTTCTTGCAATCTGCGAATGGAGATAACGGCAAAAAATCAACCCAAGAGTCAAATTTGTAGATTTTCAAACGATGCCATTTTCTTCAAGTTTAACATGACTTTTATTATTTCATAATGATAAATCGTACAAATTCAATACACCTATATATTTATGTCCGCACAGCTAAAATCCCCTAGAAGTCATTCATTTTGCCAGCACGTGACACATCTAACTCTTCCCTCTCCAAAAAGACAGTCAAATCGAGAGTCGCGAACACGTACGTTCCCAGTGAGGCGTTGGGCGTGAAGTCGTCCTCAACAGCCGGCACCAGACGTAAGGTCACGTGACGTAAGTCATCCATGGCGGTGATGGTGTCCTCCAGCATGCACAGCTCGCTGCCGTAGCAGCTCAGTAGCCCCTCCGCCTGGCACAGCAGGCCCACAGAGCTGAGCTGATGGGCGAACTCTGGGCTGGAGAACTCTTCCGTCTGCGTCAAGGCCACGAAGGAAGAGACTAGGGTGGTGATCTGCTCCCCGTAAAAGCAGAGAGAGAAAGAGGCAAAATTAAAGTACATAAAAAAAAAAAATTCTTCTTCTTCTTCTATCCCGTGGTTGGGGCAACCGTTGGGGCACCACTGCATTGGAAAACCAGCTCTCGCCATCTATTTTTGTCCTCTGCTCTCCTCAGATTGTCACCCATCGTCTTTCCTTTCCACTCTGTAATGTTGTCCTCCCATCTCCTTCTCTGCCTTCCTCTCTTTCTCTTTCCTTGTACGGTTCCTTGCAGGATTGTTTTGGCAAGTCCTGTGGATCTTGTGACATGCCCATACCATTTTAGTTTTCGTCTCTTCACTGTGGTCAGTAGATCTTCATACTGTCCCACTGCGTTGGTGATTTTCTTTCGTACTTCAGCATTGAAACATGGTCTTTGTACGAGATGTCAAGAAGTCTGCGGTATCATCTCATCTCTGTGGCCTGAATCTTTTTCTAAAAAAACCCCAAAAAACTACCACAAGAAAACAACCAAAATGCAAAAAAAACCCACCCCAAACCCAATAGCAATTTGAATTGAGAAACATTTTAGCATTCTATCCCAGTACTGAAGAAGTAGGACAGACCAGCAAGTGGCAGCCACCAAACCTGTGCACAACAAAAGACATCCATCAAAGTCAAAGTGACATTAATCACAAAACAAGAGTTAGTTTGAGTAAAGTAAGAGTTTTACAGCACTTGTAATACAATGAGGGCAACGAAGAGCCCAAGATTAAGAGGTGTTACAAGAGAGCAACAAGCACAAAAGATAAGGAGAGATCAGGACGATAGATGTTAGAGATACATACAGGAAAGAAGGAGCAAACCACACCAGAGCACCTGCTAACCACCCGCAAAAAGAGAGAACAACTATAGTGTAAAGAGAGAAGGAAAACTTACAGCGTGTGAGTTGACAATGTCGCGTCTGATCTTGATATCGGACGCCGTCTTCACTTGACCTTTATTCTCCTAGAGGTACAGAAAACATTGTTTAGTTTAGTTTTAGTTTTAGTAAAAGTTTTACGGCATTTACAACACAATTAGATTATAATATACCCTAAGAGTGCAGAAAACACTGTTCAGTTTTTTCCGTTTTAGTAAGAGTTTTATGGCACTTGCAACACAATTAGGACATATAACTCCCACAGAATAGAAGCGCTACAAGGGAGTAACATACACAAAAAAGGAGGAGGAGAGATAGGGAGGACAGATGTCTGACAGGAAAGGAGGAGCAAATCCCACTAGAGCATCTGTCAGCCACCTGCGGAAACACTGTGAGCTGAATTCTTATTTAAAGCAAGTCAGCACGATAATAGTCACAACTCATCAGTAAGAGATTAAGACAAAGGCAGCCCTGAAAAGAAGTAGAACACATCACCAGACTGCCCACCAACCAGTTGCTCAAAACGAACTTTACAAAACTTGTTTTTTTAAATAAGTGTTTTTCCACCCCATCAACACAATATAGACCAGGCAGACGTCCATCCCGGCCTGTCAGGGCCAGACTGGGCTGAGAGGAATGCAACATCGTAGCAGAAAGACAGAGATTCTCGATAAAAATTTCTCCCAACTTGGGGACCTATGGACCCCCATCTCTTCTATCTAGTCTTATTTGCAACGAACAGCGGCACAAGATAATGTATACACATGGTTAATGTCATTGAGAAACTTACCATAAGACAATGACAAAAGACAATAGATACACACAGTGAAAGTCATTGAGTAAGCTCACTGTAAGTTACTATAAGACAATGGATACACACAGTTTAAGTCATTGAGAAAGCTCACTATAAGACAATGGCATAAGAAAATGGATACACTAAGCTAAAGTCATTAAGAAAGCTCACCATAAGAAAATGGACACACAAAGCTAAAATAAAGTCATTGAGAAAGCTCACCATAAGACAATGGCACAAGACAATTGATAAACATATTTCAACGCCATTGAGAAAGCTCACCATAACAGCCACAAACGTGAGGAAGAGAGACAGCCTGGCCCAGACAATCTCCAGGAAGCCCTGTAGTTTGGAGATAGGAGGTGCCAGCTCCTCCCTGAGAGAGCCTGCTGCCGGGTCGGTGCCCAGCAGCTGGTCAGTGTGGGCCTGGGACAGACGGCGCGACATCTCCTCCACCACCGACACTAGGCACACGAAGGCCGCCTCCAGGTTCAGACGTGTCACTTCCTGCCGAGGGGGGGGGGGGGGGGGGGGGGGGGAAAAGAGGTTTTTTTAGTTCTAGTAAAGTTTTACGGCGCTCCCAACTGAAATTAAAGGTCATATGAGCACCAAGGGGTGGATGTCAACAGAGAAGTCTCAACAGGGAATCAGGCTTACTCTGCTCACCTCCCTAGCCTAAACAGCACAAAGTCTACTTCGACTACCAGTTTTAGTTTTTGTAAGAGTTTTACGGCACTTGCAATAAAATAAGGTCAGATAAGTGCCGAAGAATGGACGTGTAACAAGAGAGTAACTTACTCAAAAAAGAAGGAGGAGAGATAAGGACGATAGATGTTTGATAGGAAAGAAGGAGCAAACCACACCAGAGCACCCGCCAACCACCTCTTTTTAGTTTAAGTAAGTTTTTACGGCGCACGCAACTGAAATAAAGTCATAAGAGCGCCAAGGGGTGGATGTCAACAGAGAAGTCTAGACGGGGAATTAGGCTTACTCTGCTCACCTCTCTAGCCTTAACAACAAAAAGTCTGCTTCGACTATCAAGGCATCCCAGAAATAGCAGTTCACAAGAGAGCGACAAACATACAAAAGAAGTAGAGAAAAACGACGATAGTAAGGATGAGGAAAGAAAAAGCAGCAGTTCCCCCTTTGTTGGTCCGGCGCAGTATGAGCATGACGTTGATAAATCAGCCCATTTACAATTCTACTGTGCAAAAGAACATGTTTATATCCCCCCTTTGGGAATGGCCTAAAGACACTTCTGCCTTTGGAGGCGGGGGGGGGGGGGGGGAGGAAAGGGAGGGAGGACAGGGGGTACGGAATACAGTCTAGTTGAGTTCTTTTCTTTCTTAGGTTTAGTATTATTATCAGTAAGAGTTTTAAGGCACTTGCAACACAAAGAGGTTACAGAAGTGCTGATAATTAAAGGTTTTTCTTGAGAGTAACATACATAATACATACAAAGAAAAGAAAGAGGAGAGAGAGAAGGATGAAACCATTTTTATAAGAAAGAAGGAGAAAACCACACCAGCGCACCCGCAAATTACCCACTCTCTGGGGAGGAGTGAGGGAGAGAAAGGTATGGAACACAGTCCAGTTTAGTTTTTTTTCTTAGTTAAAGTTAAACATTGATTGTTTAACCCAATAAGGACTTTATTCATAATTTATTCATAAAACAGTTTAATTCCTTTCAAAGAAAGAGAAACAGATCGACACAAAAATAGCCATTTAGTGCCGGTAAAAAGAAAAACTGACAGACAGATTCAACAGACAGAAAAAAAAAAAGGACCTACCAGTGATGCCCCCCCCCAACAACAACAAAAAAACCCACCAAAAAACAACCCCCGAACCCAACTCAAACCAAAAACCATAAAAACAACTTGCCCTCATAAAATGTGGGAGACCTCTGAAATAAAATCCCTCAATGCTAGGACAGTGTAAAGAGCCTGAACAACTCTCAAAATATCCAAGGTCCAGAGATTTTAGAACTTGTTCTTGAGATCAAGTCACTCATACTGTAACCATGCATCAGATCATTAATGGGTGATGAGACACTTCTATTTTTAAAAGAAGCAGAAAGGTCAAAGCTCAAATGAATGAATAAAGAGATGGTCTAATCAGTAGCACAAGCATACGCCAAAACCACAGGAGAGAAAAAGAAAGAAGTGAAAACAATTATGATGGTGATGAAAAATTGATCAGACATGTCATATTTGAGGGTGACAATGTATGAAAGGAACATTTTGGCTGGTATGAATTTGAGGAAAGCAGATAACTACACTTAAGCAGAAACATCAACAAGTGGACAAAGACAGAAATGTCATAGAAGTGAACGGTACGGTAGGAACTAGAGCTATCTCGCTGGCTGCGTGCAAGAACCTGACAAGTGCCATATTTCGAAAAATCTTCTTTTTTTTTTTCGTGATTATCGATACTGGAGTAACTGCCCACCACATTGTGTCAAAAAACGAGCTCTCTACGACCAATAGAAAAAAAAAGTTGCTAAAGAACAACTTAGTGTCAAGTTGGACCAAATACAGACAAGAGCCCTCGTCATTTTAGTACAGTAAAGTTACACATTCATTTTCTAGGACTCGGGATCTTTGTCAGTTTCTTGCGCGGAAATCTTGCGGAAAATTTTCCTACAGGCGATCTTGTCAGGTTATTGCAGCCAACTCGGACACGTCTTTGCTCGGGCCTACGCAATATAATTATAGCACAGTCGTTTTTTAGCACTTTCTGCTTCTGACTTTCCCAAAATTCACTCTGAATGACCTAAAACGTAAGATTTCTATATTTCTGCTTTGAATTTTTTTCTAGCCCTTCAAAGACTTCATAGGGAGAATGAAAGTGAAAGGGTAAAAAAATCAAAATTACACAGAAGAATGTCCAAAATTCCAAATCCAAAGGGATTACTCAGTTTTATGTGATTAGTTTGAAAAGAAACATGAAAAGAATGTACTCTGCAACATGAAGAAAATCAGAAGAAAAGTTATAAAAAAATAGTGGGTTTTTTTAGAAGTAAAAAATGTAAAACTAAGAAAAACACCCCCCAAAAAAGTACAATAAATCACACTTTTTTCACGTGTGAACAACAAAATATGTGTACACACGATACAATCAGAGAGAGAATCTTCCAGAAAAAAATTTGATTCTCCAGGCTTTTTGGGAATTCTCTAACAGGAAAATATAATACTATACACAGCATAACTCTTAGTTGTCTTAGTACTTGGAAGGCCAGTCCTTCTCGGTACCCCTATGACTCTGTTCCTATATAACTTCTTTTGTAGAAAATAAATACATTACTGAATAGAAATGAATGACCCGAACAGTAAACGTAAGAGTTTGAATATTGATAAAAAAGATTTGCTGAGGTTTGGAACATTTTCTTTCTGACTAAACGGTTGTGTTCGTCTAAAGTCCCAAAGCTACCAAAAGTTGCTATGTTGTGAGTAAGCTAAGATAAGATCAATCTTTATTGTCTAAGCACTGGCACATTGATTTGGTGTTTCAACCCCCCC